CCAAAGGCAGCCAGGAAGGAGAGCACCTGGGCGTAGGTAGCTGAAGAGGCAGAAAGAACCCGTTGAAAATAGACCTGCCAAGGAATCCCCCCCAACATCTAGAAACAGAAACACCAAAGTGAGACTCTAAACAGAAAACCTTTTGACAAATCTCGTTTAAATTCCTTGCATAAGGAGCCTACCAGCAGAAAGAAGTTGTCTGCCCACAGCCACTTGTCCTCAGGCTCGATCTTGCCCAGCCAGGGCGACTGGTGGATGGGTTCCTTGGCTGAAACGCTGATGTCTGACACCGCAGGGTTGGAAAGGGCAAAGGGCACACTGATCCACTGATGAGGAAACAAATCCAAATGATTCTTTGGCACATTACCCTCAGCATAAGTAACCATGCTGACTCACCAAGCCCACAAAGATGCAGAACAGCTGGACCACATCTGTGTACGCCACAGAATAAAGCCCTCCTACAAGTGTGTAAAAGATGGCAATCAGAGCAGAGATCACCACGGACATGTTGATGTTAATGTCCACAATCACGCTGAGGGTGGCTCCTGTAGGGCAGAAGGAACACCCAGAGGTGAGAAGAAACCTGGGCTCAGATATGGTGGTGACCCCGCCCACCTCCCCGCCTACCTAAAGCAGAGAGAATGGCTGCAGACCAGAAGATCTCCCCCATGAGAGCAGGGATAAAGAGCAGCCCCCCCATCCTCTTCCCATACAGCTGCTGGAAGGGGTCCAGCATGGTGACGTATCCACGTGATCGCATGGGTTTGGCAAAGAAAAGCCCACCTGAGTGACGTCAGACATTTACATATGACAGAAGAGGTTGATGAAAGCAACATCATGATTTTCTTTTATATTTCCATCGTCTCCCTCACGTCATTAAAACGTGACTAAAATGTATTTCAGATAGAAATTTCACTAAATATCATTAAAGTAAAAACGATTATGTGTGTTCAGCAGCAGCCCGTTCTTCTTCTTCCTCTTTTCAAGTGTTTGGAAATAATCAGCACAGAAGGAACATGCAGCTTCTCACCTACAACCAAACTAAGCGCGTAACCAAAGGGCGCCTGTGCCCAGGCCAGGCCGTATTCTGGCAGGTAGACGTACTCTGCTGTTCCGTTGATGTAGCCCCCTCCCACCCAGGTGGCTGGCAAATAATATGAAGGAAAGTAAATTAGGATAAAATCATTCATTTGTTGTTTCAAAGTGTCTGGAATACAAATGTGCAAATCTGATTTCTGTTCGAGTCCCGGCTATGCGTAAAGGACGCACTGGCACCAAATTAAGAATTCAGGATAAATCAAGGTCTCTGGTCTTTCTGTAAACTCACCTGTCATCGTGAATCCACCAACAAACAGCCCGATGTCCCTTCCCCCAACCATGATACTCTCACTCCGCTCGCCTCCATCGCCAACTCCAGAGTTTTTGTTCTTCCACGCAGCCCAGATCCCCACGAACAGAATCAGGACATAAAAAAGTACAATCGCCACCAGACCCTCGGCGTGGATCGTCATCTTCCTCTCGTCGGCTTTTCCGCCTTGATCAGGGGCTCCTTGAGGCGGTTTGGAAACTCATGGAGAGACCTGGAGGAGAACGCGAGAAATAGTCAGTTTGAGTTATTATTTCAAATTAAACGGAAACGGCACACCTAACCGAGCTCCGGACTGGTATTTGCGCGCAGAGCGCGCAGCCTCGGGGCGGCCCCCCACAAATTTTATTTTAAACGAGTTTTTATTTCCAGAACAATTAAACTTCAAACCTCGGATTTTACGCACGGCTGCGTCTTTGCCAATTCAAACCACAATCATTAAAAAAAAACGTTTTCTATAATATTGTAGCAAAACTGAAGAAAATACAGAAAAAAATATTTCTAAGATTTAATCCCTGTTTACAAAAACACAATTTCCAACATCACGCACAGCTGAGTTAAGTCTGAACGAGATTACCTGAAATACAAAATAAATAAATAAATAAATAAATAAATAAATAGTTTTCACACCGACTGGAAAAAACAACTTCCAAAGACGGAGAGGTCAAATGACGCACGACTGTAATGAAATAGGGCATCCCATAATATGCGGATAAAGTCAAAATCAACAGAAATAAACCAACAAGCCCCCCAGAAGTAGACACTGACCGTTTTAGGACGCACTGGTGCTGGGTTCTGGGTGTGTTTTACGCACAGCTCTCTGCCGCCAGGTCGGATCTCTCTTTGATTTTCCTCAGAAATCTAACAAAAGGCCATAAAATACAGTCCGTGAATTTAGACAGACCTCTAATTAAAGTCTGTCAGCGCGTCCCAAACGAAACGCAGTCAAAAACTTCCGAAACGGACACAAAACACGAGCGTCATTTTTCGAGTTGCTGCGGAAAACCAGACTTTTCTGTTCCCTTGCTGACGCTGTGGCTCTAAGACTCACTTTAAATCATTTGCCGCAGTTAGCGCGCCTCAAGTTAATAAGGTACCCCCCCCCCCCCCCCCCCCACACACACACACACACACAAAATAGGGCACATGCCTGTTCTTTGGAGAGGCAGGTCCAAGCAGATCACAGGAGCGGAGAAGCGATCATCAGAGGAAAGTAATAAAATAGTTCTGGTAAAATATGACGGAACCACACAAAGCCAATCAGCTGTGTTGGTTTATACCTCACTACTGAGACTCAGGACTGAGCGGAGCCAGAGAGGGGGAGGCGGGTGGAGATGAATGGGAGTGGTGGGTTTATTGGGAGCTGTCAGGGTACTAGATGCTGGATGAATGTCTTACAGGGGAGGACAGAAATAGCTCAAAATAGAAAGTGGTGTGACGCACAGCCTGTCCAACATCAGCTGAAACCTTTCAGCCAGGTCACTCTGCATGGCTGATTCACGACAAAGGAAGGGTCTTCTATTTAATGATGTTTGGGGAACTCACAGCTTCCCAGTTTCTGTAGGGGGCTCCTTTTGGTCCAGAAGCTTTCATCCTTGTTTTACCAGGACCAGAAAAGTTCTAAAGGTCGAAAGATGCAACGTAAACAGCTGCAGCCATGATGGAACTGGGGTTAGGGGTTACACCAAAGGTCACTCCTCTAATCACCAACTCCAGCGAAGGCGGAGGCAGAGCGCTGTCCGTGGTGCTGTATCCAGTCACTCCGGGTCAAAGTTACATCTCGTTTATTTCTTATTATTATTTCAGTTTTCTAGAACCGATTTCTAATTTAACAAGAAGCCACGCCCCTTTGTTAGGAATAACCAGATTTTTCCCCTCACCATCTCCACACTGATGGAAACTCATCTGACTGCTAGAAATGTTCTGCCTCGATGCTGAGGGCACGTCTAATTAGAGGGTCTTCTACAAATTCATTTCAAATCCGTTTCAGTGTTGGTGGTAAGCACACAACCAGGAGAGCCTCCCATCTGTTAAAATTACTGTAACTGTCATGATCCTGCCATGCCCTGACCTGGCTAATAAAGACTTTTAAAGTGCCTCACTGTGTCTTGGTGTCCTCAAGGGTCCTTAAGTTCCGCCCGTTACAGTAGCAGCTTCAGACCCTCTCTGAAGGTCTCTGTTGCCATCCTGTGGTTTCTTCAAGCTTTACACACAGTTTAGTTTATTTTTTATATGTAGACAGTTTGCTGTAATATTTTTATTATTGCCTTAATTTATCTTTCATATCACAAAAAGTCAGCTCATAATAAATAATCTAAATAAAAACTATTTTCTTTAGAGGGTTAAGAGGATTTTTATTAACAATCAATTTAGCAAAAACCTGTAAAGTAAAAAAAACACAACAAAACAGTATTTTACTTTAAGGCGTTAAACAAAGCTGGAGGGTTACAGCTGAACTGGAACATTTTTAATCTGGACTCTGGGTTAGGGTTAGTTTTCTTTAAAACTCTGCCACCTACTGGTATTCGAGGTGAATTACAACAACACCAACACGTGGTTGGCTGCCTCTGCAGTCTGCAGGATTTTTCTTTTGTTTTGATTGTTGTTAAAACGTGAACGACTGCTTGTTTGAAATCAGAGGTCAAAATCAAAAGGTCATCGGTTCCTTGCAGAATCTTTTTCAGTATCACTCAGACTCTCCAGCCTGTTGTGTGAGTGTTTGCAGCTTCATACATAGTTTTCCAGCCCGTAGCCACTGCTTGTTAGGGAAGAAAAGGAGTGAGCACGGTAGTCCTTCAGGTCTTCAGGTGGCTTGTACGGTGGAGCAGGAGGAGGTGATGATGGCTGACCCGTCTGCAGGTAGGGGTGGGTCTTTGTCTCGTCTCCTTTGCTGCTCCAGCACAGCACCATCCCCCCCGTCAGGCTGAGACAGGCCGAGGCATAACCCAGATACACCGCCAGCCCGATCTCGTACCTCATCCCGCCGGAGAAGAAGGGTTTGTGGAAATCTGTGGTAACATCGCTGGTGGTCCATGAAATGGGGATCAGGCAGAGAAGGCCAGCACAGAGAAAACCAACCCCCCCACTCAGCACCAGAGCAGATTTGTTCCCTGAGCTTTGAACAAAGTTGGTGCACTTCATCCCTGCCACGGTGACCAGAGAGGCCAGGGCCGAGCTGATGCAGGAGAGCACCATGAGGGCCCGGGCAGCCTAAATCAGAGCAAAACACTCTCTCAGATACAAATTTAAACCTTGTTCAACCATTCTCTCTCTCTCTCTCTCTCTCTCTCTCTCTCTCTCTCTCTCTCTCTCTCTCTCTCTCTATATATATATATATATATATGTATATATATATATATATATATATATATATATATATATATATATATATATATATATATATACTGGTACCTGGAGGTCCGGTGGCAGCGCCAGCAGGGATCGGTACTCCTCACACTGGTAAACGTTGGTGCTGTGCCAGGCACACTCCATCCACAGGCCCTTCATGTAGGCGGTGGCTGTGATCATGTCAGGGCCGATGTAGAGTGTGCTGCGCCAGTGGGGCAGCAGGGCTGCAACCACGGCTCCTGCTAGACCCAACAGCCCAAAGAGGAAGCCCAGGAGCTGAAGCGCCACTCTGGCCATGGTGAGCTGCAAAACCAACAGTTAGAAACTGAAAACACCACATTTTTACACCAAAGCAGCACAGAAATGAAACCTAATCAAAAGTTTTTCATCACTTAGATGAAGAACTACTTTGGTTTATCCTCATATGAAAATTCAACCCAAACTGTTTAAGCCGCATACAAAAATCATCCCTACTTAAATGTGTCTGGATTACGTCTCTTATCGCCCCCCAGCAGAGCAGCATATTCCACCGAGCTTACATTCAGTCACAGAGTCTGAGCCGTTCCTCCAGTGTCTCTCTAGTGTCGCTGAAAAAAACTGGGAACATCTAGAGCGGTGGTGCGGGTCTCTGGCGAGGGGCAGGCGACAGCATGTGTGACTAATGAGAGCAGCGTTCCGCTGCATCTGTTAAACGCTCTCCTCTGGAGGGGAAACCACAGCGGCTCTATGAGGGAGAAGAATGGAGCATTTAGAGAAACATCCTGAGCTGAGAGCAGCCTTCAGGTGTTGAAGTCAGATCCCATCTGTCACAGGCGAGAACTGGGATGGATGCTATTTTATTAGGAAATAACAGGATTATTTTCATTATTAAAGTGTCTGACGTCCTTAGTTACACATTTACACTAACACATGGATAAAAGTGAAACATAAAGAACTAAAACAAAGTTTAATCAGTATGTTTATTTTCATAATGTAATGTTTACCCATTGCATAGGATGACTAAGCTGATTAGAGAAAAAACTGCCCTTTGTTTGACTTCCTGGGACAACAGAGGCTGATTCAGGTTGTTCCCATTAGACCCGGCACTGCTCGAATCTCTGACTGTCTCAGGGATACAAGCCTTATTGTTCCCACTTCATGATTGACTGCAAGATCTATTAGAACAAAAGGAAAAGCTGCAGTGATCCTGTTTTGCTTTTTCCTCCTGAAATCAGTCTGATTTAGTCACTTTTTCTTGTGGAAATCACCTCATTTATAAGTGAAAAAAACTTTGTACAGGTTTGCAGGCATTGCACATCTTATATTTAAAGATTTGGAAAAAAGTATCTTAAATACTCACCAACAAGACAGAAGTCATCGTTAAAAGTGTCTGATCTTCTTTAACCAACTCCTTCTCTTCCCACTTCCTGTTTAATGACTAAAGAACCCCAGCATGTGTTTGTTTCCAGCTGCTGCGTGTGACAAGCTGGATTTAGAAATCACCATCCGGATCTTTGGAATTATCCCAGCGAGTGGAGCATCATATAAGAGATGGCTTGGGAGACGGTCCTGCTGCAGTACTGATGACAAACACGGCACCAGATGCAAAGCCGGGCTGTGACAGAGGAGATATTGTCCTCTTGTGTTGTGCTTTGGTCTCAGATTAGCAGCACTGGCTCTCCAGATCTGTTAGTGAAAATAACAAGATTAAAATAGTTAACTAGTTTATAATTAGCTAGAAAGCTAGGGCTGCTCAATTAATCAAATTTTAATCACGATTACGATCTGAGTTTTGAACGATTATAAAAACAAAACAAGCCGATTATTTGCTCCTCCCACTTGCGCTGCCCTGAGCTGCAATTGAAGCGCTCCTTCTAGGGTGTTGCCAACTTGGCGACTTTGACGCTATTTCTAGCAGCTTTTCAGACCCCCTTCTTGACTTTTTAAATCTTAAAAGTACCTAGCGAACACCTCAGAAACATCTCTGGTAACCCTTAGCTACTTTCTGGATAACTGTCGTCGACATTTCCTGCAGGTTAGCTAAACACTCCGCCTGCGCTCCGGACCGTTCTTCAGGACATTAGGAAAGGGAATGATGTAGTGATGTGTCGGTCGCTAAAGAAACGGCTCTCAGAGCCGGCTCCCTGTTGGAGTAACCAGAGTGAGTGACACACACACACCGTACCTGCAGGCTCCTGAGCCGCTAAAAACGGCTAAATGTGCGTGTGCGGTGCGTTAAACACACAAGCAGCTTGCCCCTGATTGCTGTGAGACCAGGTTGGGGGTGGGGGGTGCAGCTGTGTTGGGACAATTATTACATTAACTGATGGACTTGTAAATAAATAGTTTATAAATAAGGTAGAAATAAGTTCCTCACGCTGATAAATAATAACTAACCTCTCTGAGGACACGGTGCTAGTGCACACTCCTACAGCACCTTGACACGACTAAATAAATGTTATGCAACATTTTGTGAACATAAATTTATTTGCATTTATTTGTTATAAATGCCACTGTATAATTCTTGCTGTCAGTATTTGCAAGATATTGGTATTTGGGTCTGTACTTGTTACACTTAAATGAGTTAAACCAAGGTCTACAGCCCTTGGGTCATAGACTATGAGCTATAAGCATATTGGTCTTTTTATACTGGGAATCAGGAGTTCTTTTAGTGATCATCTTGTTTCTTATTTTTGTCCTGATTGTGCCCTGAGCAATTTTATGACTGAATAAAAACAAATAAAATCAACATAAATTGAAAAATCGTCTTAAATAATCGAGATCTCAATTTCAGTCACAACAATCGTGATTATTATTTTTGCCATAATCGAGCAGCCCTAACTCAGAGTCTCTTCAGTAAAAACACAACGTAAAAATCAGGCTCCGAGATGATAAATGTCTCCCTGAAGCAAAGCAACTGATGAGGAAATGAGTTCAAATCCACAATGATAGAAAGGACACCAAAATGGAAAACACTTTTGTTCAGCCATTAGAAGTCTACCAACTAAATGTCACGTAATCTTCTCCATTAATATCTGCCTTTTATCTGTGTTCTATTCAATAGCTCAGATAAAACACAAAGCACTTTTGTGAATAAAGACATAAATTTAGGCTTGTTTTAAAATGACATTTGTTAACCAGTTGCTATTAGCCCAGTTTCACACAGAAAGCATCAGCGGCACGGAGCGGCAGCGGAATGTCACTGCTTCAATAGCCAGCTGCGATGCAGCGATTTTCAGACGCATCCCAGAAGCGGCACGCCGCGCCGGGAAAGATAAGATCAAGTTCTATTTTTGCCGCAAGCTGTTTCTAGGACACCTACATTTCCACAGTTAACAAAGGGCTGGCTAGAAAGGAAATCATAAATGGTTTCAGTGTAAAATCCCTGGTAAAAATACAAAATAAAAGCACTGCATTGATGCAGTTTCATATATACGTAGCTTATGTGCGACCCATCGGCTTATTTACTCCCAATATCATTCCAGAAGTGCAGCTGTGTGCTGAGAAGAACAACATCCTATATGACATCAAATAGCAATATCAAATGTGATTTCCTTCTTTTTGGTTTAATGGCAGATTGCATAAACAAATCGTGACATTTGAAGCCTCAAGGGATCTTATGATCTCGTGAGTCCAGCGAAGAGCACAGCGAGGAAGCTGTGTTGCAGCTGAGACTGTGTGAAAAGGGCCGCTTTGAAGTTCGTGAGTTAACTGTTCCGTGCTGCTGATGCTTCGAGTGTGAAACCGGGGGAAGTGCTAATTTTTGGAGTGATGAATGAGATGAATGTCATCTTCCTCCGCTTATCCGGGTCTGGGTCGCGGGGGCAGCATCCCAACTAGGGAGCTCCAGACCGTCCTCTCCCCGGCCACCTCCACCAGCTCCTCCGGCAGGACCCCAAGGAGTTCCCGGACCAGATTGGAGATGTAACCTCTCGAACGTGTCCTGGGTCGACCCGGGGACCTCCTGCTGGCAGGACGTGCCCGAAACACCTCCCCAGGGAGGCGTCCAGGAGGCATCCTGACCAGATGCCCAAACCACCTAAACTGGCTCCTTTTGATCCGGAGGAGCAGCGGTTCTACTCCGAGTCCCTCCCGAATGTCCGAGCTCCTCACCCTATCTCTAAGGCTGAGCCCGGCCACCCTACAGAGGAAACTCATTTTGGCCGCTTGTATCCGCGATCTCGTTCTTTTGGTCATTACCCAAAGCTCATGACTATAGGGGAGGATTGGGACGTAGATCGACCGGTAAATCGAGAGCCTGTCTTTCTGGCTCAGCTCCCTCTTCACCACGACAGATCGGCTCAGCGTCCGCATCACTGCAGATGCTGAACCAATCCGCCTGTCGATCTCCCGATCCCTCCTACCCTCACTCGTGAACAAGACCCCGAGATACTTAAACTCCTCCACTTGAGGTAGGACCTCTTTCCCGACCAGGAGTTGGCAAGCCACCCTTTGATGAGATGAATGTGTGAGTAGTTATAACGTCAACACACTTTAAGAAAGTCTGCCTATAGCCGGAGATTAATTTGAAACAATATTGTGCCCGTATAGTGTTTTAATGGTTGTTTAGGCTCAAGACATCCACTGTTCAAATATAGATGTGCACCCCTGCAGTCGCTGACAAAACAGAAGTTTGTGCCTGACATGGCTGAGATGATGGGTTTGCCTTGAAGCTCCACACAGGAGGCTGAGGAGAAGAATCACCATGCACCCACATTCTGTTCCTTGTGTTGAATGACAGCAGGGCTCTCCCCTGTAGCAGATTTTGTAAGAAGGATTACAGCTTGCACAATTGTAATCTGTTATGTTTCATACAAGCCTCACTACGTGTTCACTTCTTCATTAGTTCACAAAAACATAAATCAAAACGAGCTGAAAGACGCACACAGCTCAGTCAAAGTCAGCTGTTATCAAAGCTAAATGCCAAGGGGAACGTGTGTGTTTCATCCCTCCCAGTACAAAAAAAGATGTGTGCTGAGGTTCAACAACACACAGAATCACTGAACCCTTCAACGAGACAACAACAAAGCTGAGGACCAGAGGTCGCTTCATCAGAGTCATCCAGGTCCTTCACCTAAAATACAACCACAAATAAAACCTGTGGAATCAAAAAGATTGAAAAACAAACCAACCAACGACCGATTAACCCTGAAATGTCACAATAAATGTTTCCTCTATTAATTCCAATCCCATTTAACAGCACAGCAGGTTAGCGGGCAACTTAAAATAAACACAAGTGTTAAAATGAGCAAAGGACCGAGTAGCAGGGCCAGAGAAAAAACTAGAAAACATCTAAGTAAATATCACTAAGCACCGAGGCAATAAAACATAGCTGAAGGGACTTTGCATTTGTGTGTTTACAAGATGTGAAGAAGTTTTATAACATGAAAAATAATATGAAAGGGCTATAAGACCAGAAAAAAATGGTTTGCAGATGATTTTTGGAAATGCTAAGTCCTGGTGACAAAACTATCGAGCAAAGATTTATTTACTTATTAATCTAACGTATTATATGAACTAATAAAACAAACAAAGCCCAATTCTTTTTGGCATTTTTTAATAATTCAAATAAATAGGAAGATGTGAATTTTCTAAATAGAACCTTGAGATATCCCCCCAAACTGACTGAACTTTGGTTTTACATCTGACGCACCAGTGATGGCTTTGAGATCCAATACTGTACCACAATAACATTTTTAAATCGCGTACATTTATGCAAGAGACTTCACCCAAAACTGTCTGATTCAGACGCTCAGGCAATCAAACAGGTTTATCTGTTTTTGTTTCTCTCAGTTATAGACAGATAAGCATTTGGGGAAATCAGTTATTTTTGTGTTTCATCCAAGGACACAAAGCAACAGACATGACTCCACTAACTTGTTTGTGTGAAGATAAATTTGTGTTCGATGCTTTATTAATGAAATTTTCATATAAACTAGATAAACTACAACCAGTGTCTAAAGAAAAACTCTTAAAGCTGTTACTGCAAATCTGCAAACAAGCCAGATTTTGAATGCGGACACGGTCCCGGATCATTCACCCCTCCCTGAGACCCTTCTGCCAGAATGGGAAACCTGCAATGCCGGACGAAACAAGACAGTGCTTAACACCAGACGAAGCTTTCTAGGTCCAAAAGTATTTTGTTGTCTGTGACTTCAAATGGTGTTTTTCTTTTTGGGACTCTGGTAGTTTGTCCTAAAGCTGAAGTGGTAGCAGCCGGCTGTTTTCCTTCTCTGATATTACTGAGCGGAGAACCTCTCACACCAGTGGTGTTCTGTGGTAAAATAAGCAAGTGCATAGTGAATGGAGGATGCAGGAAAGTGCAGCGGTTCAGCGAGACCAATGACTGCATGGTCCAATAACCCTAACCCTTTACGAGGTTTTGACAAATGCGAGAGAACCACTTCATGAAATATTTCTGTTTATTTTTTAAATCTCCACAATATATTTATTAGGGCTGCACGATATCAGGAAAACCTGCGATATTTGATAACAGTGCTTAATTGGGGCAGCAGTAGCTCAACAGGTTGAGCGGGTTGTCCAGTAATCGGAAGGTTGCAGGTTCGATCCCGGCTACAGACGGAGAATGCTGCTGTTGTGTCCTTGGGCAAGACACTTAACCCACCTTGCCTGCTGGTGGTGGTCAGAGGGACCGGTGGCGCCTGTGCTCGGCAGCCTCGCCTCTGTCAGCGCGCCCCAGGGCAGCTGTGGCTACATCGTAGCTCATCCCCACCAGTGTGTGAATGTGTGTGTGAATGGATGAATGATACACTGTAGTGTAAAGCGCTTTGGAGTCCTTACTCTGAGAGGCGCTATACAAGTGCGGGTCATTTATCCTTTATCATTTAATATTGTGATATCGATATTACTCATGATAAATGAACAAATACTAAAGTATGCAGTGTTAATGTCGTCTGGCGTGTGACGTCTGCTCTGGGTTCAAAGCAAACAAAAACTAATGCATGAATTCCATTACAACATAACATTTTTATTGAAAAAATATGCAGCTGCACCTGCTACTGTATTAGCAGCTGCACCTGCTACTGTATTAGCAGCTGCACCTGCTACTGTATTAGCAGCAGCACCTGCTACTGTATTAGCAGCAGCACCTGCTACTGTATTAGCAGCAGCACCTGCTACTGTATTAGCAGCTGCACCTGCTACTGTATTAGCAGCTGCACCTGCTACTGTATTAGCAGCAGCACCTGCTACAGTATTAGCAGCAGCACCTGCTAC